CAAATCCTTACTGGAATGCGGTTTATTGGGTCAGGGATTTGTGAGATTAAACACGTGTGTTATTGGGCTACCACCGTCTCGAAGGCGAACAAGTTCCATTGTCTCGGAACACAGTTCATAAACTCAGTGGCCTGAAACGAGGTCAAAACAGATAGTGATCTTGTTCTAGTTTCACGGACGGTTTATTAGCCAAAGACCCTGATTATCGATATCCTTTTCGCGAGTTTGGTCTGTCCTTTGAACCTGTCGCGTCACTTAAAGAACAATACTGAAGTCTGCCTTGACAATCTTAAGTTTTACTTGCAAGGAAACTGCGAAAACGGAGTTAACTGTGGTGAATAAAGAACTCATGTTACGAATGTTCTCCAAGGTCAAACTGCTGAAAATTCATTAATATCAGGAGATAGGGAATATTATCACAGATCGGAGCTTCCACCCACATATACCCAACCAGACCTCACAAGTATCGAATGGCGCGTGATTTTGCACTACCTTCAAGATGTTCCACCAATGTAAGACAGCGGTTCCTGTAAGGTTAAAGTGTTAAGTAGTTTTCGTAGAAGTTAAGATGACCAAGCCTATAAAGGTTGGGGGTTATCTCTCCGTCTGTGTTGATAGTGGAAAAGGGTAAGATGTTAGACTGTGCGCTGTGGATATCAATAGTCAATCGGATTTTGGAGTTATATTCCGATGCGACTAACGGTGAATCTTATTTTGGAAATTAACCAAAAACCTGGCAAGGTGAGTGAACTGAAAAAAATACTTGGGACTATCCTAAGGGGAAGGACCTATTGATTACAATGGGAACCTGAATACGCTATTCAGGAATATCCGTGCCACCCTGGGACGTTACGTGTTCAGCACCGGTATTTGTTGTATCCGCCAACCCAGACCAGAGACGGCCTGCAAGTCTACGAGGCAGGCGGCAAAGAGTTACAAATAAGTTGAGCCCCTCCCATAAGCTGGGTTGAAAGAAGGGCACCAGGTTCATCGTCTTGTCCTGGAAGAAACTCTTATATTCGGTTGCAAACAACCTCGAATTGTGAGTAAAGGTACTTCTTAAGAAGGATGGATGGAGTTTTCACACTCGGTTTCATCATCCCTGTTTGAATGCAACCTCTAGATCGATAAGGGTCCCCCAGCGAGTCACGCCTTAGCTTGGCATATAGTGAATGAGAGGTTTAAAGGACTGGGTGACCCAAGATGGTTCGCTCACTTTGTAGAGTTCGGTGGTCTCCGTGTTTAGGGGATTTTGCTTTACTTGTTTGTTTCGGTGTAATTCCCGGTTCACGGTTTCCTACAATTTTTGATAGGAACTCAAGCAATGTGAGAAGATGGAGTTAACAGTGATTATCATTTGTACAGCCAAATGACTGGTAAGTCTACGGAAGTTTCTACTGCGCAGTCTTACCCGACAAGTTATTGGCCCAGGCAATGGAGTCTGGGGACATTAGCAGACTGGGTTCAGACTACTCGGGCAGGAAGAAGTATACCAAGGTCACAAATACATACTGTTAGCTATAAAAAATTTGAGTTCGATTCAAAAATTTTGATGTTCAGCATTGATGGGCCATGAGACTCTGGGTTTACAGGCTCCGGCAATTCAGCAAATTACTCAGAGGGACCCTTCTAGCAAACGGAACAATGCGACAAGATGGACCACTCCGGTCATTCACCTTACGGGAATCGCATATGTCCTTACCATATGGTGGGTGACCTTTGGGAATATGATATAGTTTGTTCTCCTAGATTAGTTGGGCTTTGTTGCTCGTTTTCTATTTTCCAACAGTCATCCTTCGAAAGAAAATCGCAATATACACTCTCCTCTTTCCCCCATAAATGTACTCAGGTTTTCTCTTGTGATCGAAAACCAAACTTCTGCTGATTCTGACAGTCTGTGTTTTGCAGCCCCGCTCAAGTCCCTCCCCCTCAAGACCACCTTCACTGTTTGCGTTCATTCTTCCCAGTCCACGGCCACCTGCGTTCTTCCAACCGACAATCCCCTCACTTGCTTTCCTCGCAGTTGAAGAGTCCTTACAGTCCCCAATGCTCCCTATATGGTTCCGACCACTATGGCCTCTAATTCAATTTTCAGGTCACTGGAATCTGTTTTCAACTGAGATCTCAAAGATGAAACCCGCTCACTTGGAGAATTCAGTGATCCAAACAAAACCCCTGTCATTCCACTCGGGTGTCAATTTAGCAGACGTTTTTTCTCTTCTTCATAACTTACCCAATTTCTAGCTCGTGACTCTGACAGAGATACAGACGTTGCGCACATCCTGCACCTTCCTGCATCAAAGTCTTCCGACTGTGCTGCTTCCTTGTTCATTCCTACCACTGTCTTATTTCGCCCCAGCCTTACCACCTCTTTCCATCGATGTTTGTCTACTGCAAAAGAGTACTTTCGGCAAAATGGAATGACTTTGTAACTGTCTGTTCTTGGGATGCTGTACTAGCAAAATATGCACCTGCATTTTCGAACAAAACTGGTTAAGGTTTTTACGAATAGCAGTCCTTTTTATCTCTCACTGTTTCAAACACCTTAAATGATCTGTCAACCGGTTTCATCAGGCATGTCTCCAAGTAGTGGGAAAAAAATGATCACTTGTTACACAGACGGTGAAACGACCCCTTCCTATACGTTCACTCGGGCTTCCTTGCTGCCAGAAACCCTGGAAAAAGTCTATGTAGGTGAACCCAAACAAAAAGTTGCGAGGCGAAGGATCAGGAAGTCGCCTGTGCTGGGGGAGTGCCAGATCTTGCCCTTCCTTACCTCCACAATATCCAACTAAATTTCACATGCACCAATTCCAGAAGACCTAATTTCCATAAATCCTCCGCTACTGAGTTCCACCCTATCCGAACGCTATGGTATGGGACGTTCATAAAACTATCGTTTATTGCTTGTAAACCCGTAGAATTAGATTAATTCAATCTAAAACTTATAGATATGTGCACGTGCCTATGATTCCCAGATATTTTTACTCTTCAACACTTATTCAAAGAAACATTCCATGAGACAAGCGGTGACCCATCCGATTCCAATGGCTCTCACCGTTTTACACCAAAACCCATGCTTTATCAAAGTAACGAAATCTGCCGGACTCCCGACAAGATGAGCGCCTTGGTGAGGATTAGTATGGATTTCGAGCCGTTCGCCTGCTTATGTGACGAACCTCCAGTTCATACTGAGGACTCATTTGGTGAAACCGATGCTGTGTAGCTAGACATACCAAAGGCTTTTGACCGTGTTCGGTATGATGGCCTCATTGCTAACCTTTCGTCCTTCGGGCTATGATTGAGACCCAGTTTAGATTGTTAGTCTCCTTCACAGGCAGGTACACTTCCACGACGCACCCGGTAACCACACGGACTTTAACGTGGAAATGTTTCGTTGTATCGTATTTTCTCCGATTCTATTTTCAATTTGTCAATGTCGCGCCTTCCTCAACATCTGCCCGTATCCATTCATTCTCTGAGGATTCTGAGCTATTCACTTTTCTATTCTGCACAACGGGTAGGGACCAGCCACTTAGGTCAGGATCGCTCCGTTCCTATTATCGTATTCAACATCGAAGGCTAGAGGGTAAGAACAAGCGAGGGAAATACAATCCAGACCACTCATTATAACTGGTGTTCATATTTTTATTTGATAATCAACTCTCGAGACTTCGCCCTCAATAAACCTGATTATCATTCCTCTTGCCAGTATCAAGCAAACCCTTACTGTCTTTCTCCGGTAATATCTCTTGGTCCGACCACGTAAATCTGTTGGCCCCAAGAGCCTGCAAAGTACTAACCCCATTCTACGTTCAAAGGGGTTCTTTAACTTGACTGCATGCAAGCCATGCACCTTATGTATGACCTTTAACCGACTGAAATGGCCTGTCTTCTGGCAAAGTTTTCCGTCGTTTTTAACCGTTCCATTTTCTTTTGTGAAAAGTCACTGCTCCCAAGCGACTACCTCTTGTTGTCGGCCCAACATCATTGGCTTTAGCAAGAACACACGATGGGACTTTCCACCTCTTTCCCCAACATCTTCATACCACGAGAAAATATGTAACATCCTAAGTAGTTTTATCGTATCAGCCTCGTGTTTTACAGCTGGTTTTAACGGTATCCTTAGTTCAGCGTATATCCTGCATTGTGATCTTACTTCTTCGCGCAAATGGCCAAGACTGAATCCTTTATAGATGGGATAGAAGGACTGACGCGGGGGTTCAATTAATAGGCAAGGGTGAAAAAATATATATACAGCAACAATGTGACCGTGAGACTCAATAACCGAGGGACTGCAATGGCATGCTCACAGGGTGAAGCGCCGCCGAACGGTGTCACTATCTTGCGATGTCGGTCAATGAAGCAAAGATCAGATCAGGATGTGCGCCGACTCTAATTCGGATAACCGAGCTCGGGCCGGCTTAGGGACATCAGTAGAACCGTCTCATTCGGAGACCACGAGGGACAGTCATCAAAATTAAAGTAAGCACTATCTGAGACAGCCGGCTTGCACCGAAATAGATGACCTGACATGTCGGACTGGCACGAAATCTTTCAGCCACATGCAGGAGGTGAATTCGTATCACGTCAGGGGTATGCTCATGTCAGACCTTATAAATGTAGGTTAAAATGAACGTGAGGCACGTGGCCATAGTCAAAGATCAGTAGTGGAAGAGTCGATTCCGGATGATAATTCCACATACAGGAATCGTTTGTACAGGGTAGAGGATGTAGTTTTACCGTATGAGTGTAAGTATATTGGGCAAAAGAACCACTGCGACGCAAAGCTTATTCTCCACACGTTACACAGTGATTACTACTCGCACTAGTCAAGATACTCATCTGCACCTATCATCAGCCTTTAATTCATTACGAACGGCTTTTGTTGAAATCCTTGGACAGAGGAGTAACCCGCAAAACAACCCGATCGCGTCTAGAGACAAACTCCAGCCGTTGCTAAGCTGGTACAAGAGGCAGAAAAACAAGTAATTTGGAGTGGCTGACATCAACCTGATCATTAGATACACGCAAGGGAACAAATTGAAAAGGGGACAGATTCCAGTGTCGCTATTTAAAATCTTTGATTAAGAACGTTTAGGGAAGCCTCGCATTGGACCGGACATTCCAGAAGCCGCTTGATACTGAAGTTGGTAGGCCAGCGGATGAATTTTGAAACCAAACAACCTGGAAATAGGAAAATAAAAAGGAGGGAGGCGTGCGAAGCTGGAAGACCCTGCTTACTCGTTAGGAAAACGCTGTCAGCTTACGGAAACCGTATTATAAACACCAAACAACAGGATTTTTCGGAATACTTTGGTTCCGCCAAAAAATCTGTTTATACAGTGAAGCGAGGTCCTAATGAATTGGTTTATATCCTTCCAGCGGGGTTACTGTAGACAGACAGACAGACAGACTATATTGTCTGTTGCCGTGCTCTACGTTGTATCCTGTGTAATGTCAGCAACAATGCTGAGGCATTCAAAGTAGACAAAATTCTCCCACCTCATTGCGGGCTGGTTGCTGCACGGTAAGACAACGTTCGGCGCCGGCTGTCAAGGGTAGGCCACGGCTTATCACGATCAAATGCGGACTCGAGATGAATGCACCTAACAGGATGTCCCATTTTGAGCTTCGAGATCACTAAACGGTTGATACGGGAAGAGCTTCAGTCAATATCACCTGTTTTTTATCGCTATTGCTGCTGAAGAATTAAGCCAGCGCTGTTTGTTCCAGTAGCAAATCCTGCGCCCATGGTGTCGTAATTCCAACCTATGCAGTTTCCTCATCAAAGAAACGGAGAAAAGCATCGGAGACGACGGTCTAAACAGTCTACTGAGGTTGCACTGTAACGTCTAAATAACCTGAAAAGGTTTGTTACCAACACGTCACCACAGATATCGCGCTGTTGTCACTCCACATGTCTGTTAGCACGATCTCTTAATCAATGTTTTTTTACTCGGACATCAAATGAACACATGTTCGGTAAAGCAGTCAGCCGAACACAAAATATAGGTAGGAGTAAAATCCGAAGTCCTTTGGATCGATCTGATGAATGTGAAGCACCGCGAGTACCAGGGGGTTCATTTGGGTTGATTTTCAAGATATGGATGTATTGTTCTTTCGGTTAGTATAAAAATGTTATGAACTTCATAGCTACTTTGTTCACCGTTAATTCATTTCCGTTCCTGGTCAGCTGTTAATCAATGATTAGAAGTGAACACTGGAGTTTGCAAGAGTATTGCTGCGATCAGCCGGCGTAAAAGAAACAAAGGAAAGAAAAAATATTCATGGCGAAATTATAGGGTCGCCTCGTACGATGCGGTCTTATCGAAATCGGCTTCGGCAAGATTTTCTAGATTTTTCTTTCCAAAGCCTTCACCAATCACCTCTCCGTGCTTTTAATGTATGAATAACATCTTAGCTGCTACATGTTTCAGGAACGCCGCCAACTCAATCTTAGGGCAACAGGCGTTTGCATTTTTGTACACCCGCTGTGCCAGTATGTTGTTCGGGTTATTAATCAAGTGCAGATCAACAATAAAAGTTCCCAATCCAACAGCATCATGAAAGGGAACAGAAGTCCCTTCAGGAGGATATGAGAAGCGTGTAACACCGCACTGTTCTATTCAGGTATCTCAAATTCCAAGCATCAGATGGGCAGCATTAAGTGTCATAACGTCTAGATGTGTGCATCGGTCTCCTTAACGGGCCGGTTGATCGTGACCGCATTAGGATTGTCTGTCAACAAGCATTGGTGAATATCGTCCGAACCGGACAGACGAATGTTGGAATACGAGTCTAAATACGGACCAGCGCTTCCACATATATACTCATAGCTTACAGGTGAAATGGCTCCAGAAAACAGGCAGTCCTCTAGCATCGGGTGTATATGGCATATCATCACCATAACATCTTCAATACCGATGCTTCGTTGCCGTACAAACATAATTTATTTGAAAACCTTAGTGTGGAGGAAAGAATGGAAGTGGATGAAGAAGGGACCTAGCATTAGCCTACCACAATCCTCCAAGGTACCTACACATCAAGACACTCAATCAGGCAATCTGGATAGAAACCAATAACAAGAACGTCAGTTACATCACTTAGCAGCGATATCTTGCAGCGCCTCTAACCATGTATATACGGACCCCATCCTGGAAGCTGAATCACACCGAAAACAACCAAAATTCTTGTAATCTCTTTCATATTCTTCTGCCAGGTCAAAGACTGACCACCTCTCTGCTTGCATCACTCTGAATTGGATATGGGAGACAGCACTTTCCTTGGCATTATGTGGTTTGACCGGCATTTTGTATAAAGTGTGGTTAGACTGTCCACCACAGTTGACTCCCTTTTCCAGAAAGCATGAACTTATGTCAGCAACAACGATTTGACTTTCCACCGGATTCAGGTTGTATACGCGACATCAGCAACGCAGCGGTAATGTGCTTTGGCACACTACGTCCATAGGGGCTGACCGAAACTGAAAAATGCTTGGCATGGATCATCCCCGGACCACAGCCTCGTTAATAAAACGGGCGGTAGCATCCATCAGACGCAATTATTCTGGATATCAGTGAATGATGAACGTAAGTGGAGGTCAGAAACCTGACCGCATCATCTACTGAGAACAAAAGAGAGACAGAAGAGCCTTATAAGAGTGGCGAAAAATCATGATGTTCAAGTCCACGTTCGGGTGCGTTATTCTATCCCTGTCACATTAACTGCACCTGTTATTTTAAAACTTCATTCTACTTAGTCCTTTGCTGTGTATACATTCCCTCCCCTGTACACACATATACCCTCTTCCCTTTTGACATTCTCGCGTTCTAGAACTGCAAACAGAATGAGGGAAATGCTGGTACCGCTACTTAGTAAGCTAGTTTATTTGTCTACCAGAAGAACAATCTGCCAGTCCCTTAAATTTAGGTGGACCAATCCACTCTAGAATACGAAAGAGCAGGAACCTTTGAGCTTGGGTTCTTTCCCAATTGCTCCAGGATTCAAGCACCTGCCTGGCAATATATCAGTCATTGTGCTTCGAATTAGCAGGACGACAGCAATACGCCCAGCATACCACAGCCGAAAGGCTAGAGAAACGCAGAGATCCGTATACTGTTCACGTCCAAACAATCCTCACTGCATTAAGTAAGCTGATGTGACAAGAAGCTAATGGTAAAAAAACGTCTCACCTACCTAGCAGTGAACTGCTTTTGCGCTCGTTTAGGACGATATTCCGGATGAACGAGAAACAGCATATGAGGGAATCCGGTACCGAAATATGCGCCATCAGTGTAGTGGTGACGAGTCGACTTTGGAGAGTACACATCTTGACATCTTGGACAGTAGATTTTCACCATAGCCTCTCCGGGAACGTCTGATAAGCCGATGGGAAGACACGGTTGGCTTTCACAATATACCTAAAACCAGCATGGTGTGGAGAAAAGAAGGTGAGAAAAGAAAAGAGCGTTCAAGACCAAGATGAAACGGTTACCCAGGCGAACTGGTCAGCTCACAAGTCGATAAGCTGCCAAATGCGATTACATCATAACCGATCAAGAATAGAAAAAAGCTAACTCACACGGAGAACATCTGATGAAAGAAACCAACCTGCATGGCGTCAAGGGAACTTTTTCAAACTTGTTTTGAACGGAGTTAGATTTTACTGACCCCTCTCATTTCAGAAGGCATCTGGAAACTGTGAGGGATACCTATGTCTGCTTGTCGTAGTCAATATATCTTCATCTATTGGGAGGGTAAGGGTGATTGAAAGTCCCCTTCGGAATTATATCCAGCAGGACGACTTAGCACGTTTCCCATGGTTCCAGAACAAAGTTTACATCCCTTCAGCAGTACGTTGCGTCTAAAGGAAGCTAGCGAGTCCTCAGCATCAGCAGTGGAACAACAGCACTCGCTAATCTTCATGTTAACAATCAGACTGCACCGATTGTTACCTTGGAAAACGAACAAAAGCCCCGTTTTAGGTTCAAATTCAGCTCAAAGACAAGCGGTACAAAGTGGTCGACAATTTTTGCCACAAAGTAGTTGTACAAAGTATGACGGGCAACCCGACCAGGGAGTGTGGGGTTGAAAAATCATAAGGTTGGATGGTCGTACCTGCCGAATGACAGTGTATGCTGCTCACCACTTTGAATGTACAGTTGGGTGTCAGGTAAGGAAGCAGGGACAGTAATCCATCAGCAGTGGAAAATTGCTGCTTATCTGTCACACACCCGTATGGGACCGATTGGGAAGTCATCTTTTCAGAGGGGTTTGGTAAACAATCGGTGGATTTATTGCTGGGCAACGTTTCGCTTTTGACACAAAAGCTTCGTCTAACCAATCCATCGTAAAGCTTAGTCATCCTCACTAATCAACAAACAGGGACATCAGACTGAACACCCAGCACTGATCACGTCACTAGTCATAAGGAATCCCACGGATTGGTTCCCTGACTGCCTTAAAACCCAATCAACCTACTTACTTCCTCACTTGGCCTGACGAAGCTTTTGTGTCAAAAGCGAAACGTTGCCCAGCAATAAATCCACCGATTGTTTACCAAACCCCTCTGAAAAGATGACTTCCCAATCGGTCCCAAACATTTTCCAATTGATTGAGGGTAGAAGCTTCTTGCGGAAAGCCCTATGACCCCAGAAAAAACGCCTACGAACGAGACGCACACCCTTCAAAACTACTATAATAAACACGCTGGTCTCACAATACACACTGTTGCGGGGATAAACAGTGTTCTTCGCGAACATCACCAACGTAGGACAACAAGCGAATTCTAGATAAGCAGTTCGACAAAGATCGACCACGCACCATGTCCTGTGCATTTTCCAACCACGCGCAAGAGAACGACGTGGATAGAGTCTACAAGGCGCAATTATTTTATGAAGACATGATGGCTTTCACTTGGCGTTAAAAACAGAGCAGAGAACAGGTGAGCTGCGCTATAGGATTACAAAAGGACTTTTGCTCGGAACTGTTATTCTTTCGACGACAACCCATCTACCCGACCATGAGAACAGAAGGGGTTCTCTTTGAAACAGGCAAGCGAAACAGCAGTGAACTATAATATCCCTAGTGAAGCTATCACATGTGGCACAACCGTTGGTGATGGGATAAACTTCAATGAAAACGCACTAGTTATGGCTAGAAGTCAAATCTGGACAGAAGTTGGCTTAACCAGAAACCTTCAGTTGGAGGTCAATACAGAACGAAAGACATGGGAGGATATGAATCTAAGGTCTGGACAAAAAATGGAGATCATGACAGCAGCATTCCTGGATGAGTAATTCTGATGGGAATCAAGAATACGAACATCACAAGAAAGAACTGGCTCAAAGTATAAATAAATCAGGGATATGCAGTCGAACTCACCCGAGGACAGCAACCGAAATCACCCTGCTGCCACTTCGCCACCATAACACATATGCCACGGTTGGTCAAGATGTATCTTGCGTGAATCAAACCATACAGCATTTCTGCAGCCTGTTCAACCAAGTCTGTATTGTCTTGGTTATCAGATGGATCTAGGAAATATTTAGGAAGGCGAAAATTTGTAAACTGGCACCCGAGCATTCAATGAAGCACGTTAACTGTTTTCCAGTGAATAAGACGGTAATCCAACCAACTACAAGCAGTTTGACGACACAAAATCATAGACACGGGCGTCATCCTTGTCCTGAATATCACGAAGCATGATTCATAAGAACAACAGCTCTGATTTACTTCATTATATTACCTCGTGAGGTGATGCGAATCTGAGTGATCCTATTGTGTCACCAACTGAAAGTTCAGACCAACTGTTCGCGGTGAGTGGACCGTATCACAACGTAAAAATTTATGTTAGGTACCTTATACACAAAGGGATCAGCTAGTGTGCATGAATTCGCCCGAAGAGCATGACGGAAAACGCATTACCGATGGAAAGGTTTACCGTAAGATGGCGAATCTGAGTGATCCTATTGTGTCACCAACTGAAAGTTCAGACCAACTGTTCGCGGTGAGTGGACCGTATCACTACGTAAAAATTTATGTTAGGTACCTTATCCACAAAGGGACCAGCTAGTGTGCATGAATTCGCCCGAAGAGCATGACGGAAAACGTATTACCGATGGAAAGGTTTATCATAAGATGGTCAGAAGAGCCGAATCTTCCTTGAGCGTATGTATGTTACATGCTCCCCGCGGTATGAGTACTTCTTCTTACAAGTGGGAGTGAGCTACAACAGCTGACTTTGACTCGTCTTCTGAAGCGAATTTCAAAATGGAAAATCATTGAAGGAAACACATTTTAAATGTATAACTCGTTTGTATGAAGGCACCGTAGGACTGTCTCGTCCCTATTGGGTAGCTGATCATGCATACACAGGTTCGAACCGCGGGACGACGGGTTACTGTTATTACAATTCCGAATGCTAAAATCACTTAAAATACCTTTCAACTGCTTTAGGATGATGCCTATGACGATTCCTGGGGAAGTCATATGTAGGAATCCTGTTCAGACATCCCGGCGATACATAACCAAGCCGAATCCCACAAGTGAAACACCCAATAAATATAGAGACATCCTGTTCAGACATCCCGGCGATACATAATAACAACCAAGCCGAATCCGACAAGAGAAACACCCAACAAATATAGAGATGTGGGAGTTGTACCCAGTCTCGTGATCGATAGAAAGCAGAACTGGGGGTAGTCTCTTCGGACGCCTGCCGCCCTCGATAGAGCTGATCCTGCGAAGATGGAAGGAAAACGCGAACAAATACCCCCCCAGAGGCAGCTTTGGGTCGATTAAATTAACGTTGTCGTCGTATTTACCAACAGAATGATGAAAATACCACCAATGTTCTGGTAGACAGGGGAATGAGGAAGGACACTGATGAGAGCTGAAATCCAGTAGATTTATCCAGGCGTTGATGCTGAGACCGTTGGGTCTATCTCATCTCAATTCTGAGCAGCCGGCTTTTAGTGGATGAAGTCGATTAAGACATTATCCACTAAATCAGTTTCGAAGGGATTTATATTCTAGCACCGTTACGGTATGGTGTCCAGCATACAATGTCCATACACTGGATATTTGGGTTTTTACAAAAATGCGACTCATACAGCGGCCTTTTTTCCGGGGAACTTTCGGGCCCTTGCAGCTCACAGAGTGAAGCATCGGTTCTCCACGGCGATGTTGCTGTTGTCAGTGACAAGAAATTGAAGTGATTAGCAGACGATTTCGTTCGACAGGAACAAAAAAACAAGTGAATCGGTACAGTGCCCCTCTGAATAGGAACCTTCTTTTTAAAAGGACTACTTCGACCCGGTCCCGCGAACTGTATCATCTGATTGATGGTCCGAATGTCAATTCACAGAAGTGACAAGAAAATTTCGGCGATTTTCACCGAGGTTCACTTTCAAAAAGTAGGTTTGAATATTACTTGGTATAACAAATGATTTTTGTTCAGATTTACTTGTTAGCTCCGGTGCGCTCCTGACACTGCCCAGTGAGTTTGACAGCCAGGTTTTTCGTAAAAAACAGGTAGCCCCGCAGCCAATGTGTAATACAGCAACTCACGATGTATGCCGTAGAGTATGAGCTTAAACACAACTTATCTGGTTTCCCTAAAAAACCATCCAGCTGTAGCACCCTTTCGGTGCCTAGCTGCCATGCCGCACGAAGGAGGCACGAGGGCTGGGATACTGCCAGGTTGCCCAAGCCTAGACAGGGAAGTCGAGAGTCAGAGGTCGGGTTCGAACCACGGACCTTCCGGCCAGTAAATTCGTGCTCTAACCACTTGGTCCATCTCGTCCCCTAGTCGATGGTATAAACAATCCTAAGTACTCTGATGACAACTCACATGTGACTCAACTACATCGCTGAGTGTGGAGAGCAAAGTCAAACTTGCTTGCTATCCGAGGCTCAAAAAACATTCCGGCCTCCTCGTTTTGAAGGCTCGTTTACTGGTATATCGATAACATGAAAAAGTCAGCCGATGCAAACCCATTCCTTGAAGTGCGGAGCAACAAACTTACTGATGGGGTACCGAGTATAATCACTCTCAAACCAGCCAGTCACTACGTAGGCTTGCTGAACATTAAACTTTGGAGTGTGGTCTCTTTTTATGGTCGGCTGTACGAAGAAACATGTGCGTGATCAGTACGGGTTACTGGAAGGTTGTGGGCCATTAAACCTCAGATTTATAGAATACTGACTACGGAGGATTAAATAACACACCCTCGAAAGTGAGGCTTAGGAGGACATGAAGAACATGTGGGGTGTATAGAGGCACCTAAGAGGTTTTTCTGCCTATATCATGCAATTATCTCCCGTACATTTCAACAGCAGCCAATGGAACAAGGATGCATCACTGAACATAATGCAAATATAACGCTGCCTGATTACCAACCGGACAAAGGTTTTTGAAAACCAGACGTCTATGTTTGCCTTGAGGAATCAAGAAGCTCGTTTCTTATATTATTGTACTCAATCAAGCTTGGTAGGCTTGGGAAAAGTACGTCTGTTGCTGCTGGATATTTGTGCGTATATCCACGAAACTCCTCAAAAGGAGATCATCCACGCTGAGAAACATCTTGGTTTACCTGCCGGGTGTTCATCACTGAGCAGCTTTGCTGTAATAGTCGTGAGAAATCGTTTTAAAATGTTATCTGCGATGGGTGTCTCAAGCAATGCATCGAAATTAGTAGCGGAATCTCAAATGCTTCAGACGGTGAACTTTGATCACTCCATAACCGTTTTTTGCAGCCCTATCACCCTCACATAATAAAAATACTGTTGTTGATAGCATATAAGTGATCTTCGTGTGGTTATTTTCTGAATACAATAAATATCACTGTGAGTAATTGGTCACGATTAAAGGGTAGGCATTATATACAAGTGAGATGGGGCTGCAGACTACCTATTGAAGGGACAGAGTTTGACCTTGGGAAAAAGACAGTGAATTCGGACACAAGCAACCCGTGAAAAAAATTCGTTTAGTTTGACGGAACGGTTTCATAACCTTATGACATCCCGGTACTTCAAGCTATATGACAATAGAATATGGACTTCAAACTTACCCGTCTCTAAGTCCAAAATCATATCAAGAGCCTCTCGGTACTCTGGAACTTGTTCCGACAGTCCAGTTAAATTAAATCTATCTTGGATATAATCTTCCTCTACTTCACAGAAGAACTCATTCCCACGCAAACCACAAAACCAAGAAATCCACGAGATCTCCTCGCTGGAACTCATAGTGTTGAATTTGCTAGATGATTCACGCGCTGAAAATGGTAAATGAAGCGTTAAACAACGAACAAAACAGATCTGACGCTTATATCATGGTTCTGTGACGCATCACGTTTTAGTCACGTGGTGGTTTCGTTTGGCTGCGTCCTGGTGTGATTAGTAGCGCATGTCAACGGGGACGACGGTCACGCATCTGAGGACTATGTCCAGGCCCACGAATATTGTTGTGCGGGAATACTAAATTTAAGGGTTTTCTGAGTTGTGCTGCGCCAAACACTTTTATCAACCTGATCATTGCACATGCAAGGTTCCCACCATACGTGCACGATACTCCCGATGTAAAGGCAACCAAAAACTACTTCGGTCTCTGCCAAGAAATTTTAGTCCGATGCTAATACCTTTGCTACAGCAAAAGTGGCGTGGCTCTAAAACGCTCTAAACGCTAACAAGAGCCATCCAAAACGTGAAGTGTACTAATCCTGAGAGCTACAAATGGAATCGGCTCCAGCCAGGTAAACAAGACCGCTTTGCATCCAGAAGATGTCAAATGTATTCCAAAGAGCAGGACCAATTACTATACTATTCGGCGATGAGGTACTCGTTCTCATCCAAACCCCCCTCCTCGGCCCGGGCAACCGGGAAGTATCATTTGCCCGCGTGGTTTCGTGTCCACCGATGTCCATCCCAAACCTTTTCCCGCCACAGGAAAAAAACGTCGCTGGGTCGTTTGACTGTCAGTTATCTGACCGAAAGGGCTTATGCTCCTCGCGGCCTATTACCAATAAACAAACACCTTTCTAAATCCACGAGATCCTTCATATGTAGGAGCTTTTAACGTCCGTACTCTATGTCAAGTTGGCAAACAGGTAATGCTTGCTGAAACCTTACACTCCCTTAAAATTGATGCATGCTGTCACCGAAACACGCATGCAAAACCCAGGCGTGATTATACTTCTCAGAACACCAAGGATGAACTCAGCTCTTCCACACTTCTCCCTCCGTGTATCCGGTTACCCAGGAGCAATGACCCGTGAAATATATGGCGTGGGAGTTGCACTCAGCCCCAGAGCTGAACGCGCTTTTCTGGATTGAATCCCAGTGAACAGTCGTCTTTGAGCCATCCGGTTATCCAGCTCAATCAGGCTTAATGCCTTTCGACATAATAAGCCGTGTCTGTTTATAGTGTCGGACTGCAGTTCTGATGCCGAGAAGGATACTTTCTATCGAGAACTATCCAACCTCATTCGTCAAACAAAAAGCACTGACAGTGAGATACCTGCAGGCGATATGAATGCTCAAGTAGGTTAATTGAGCTCCTCGGAATCACATCTGGACGGTCCATTTAGAGTGGAAGCTCGTCTCACGGACAACGGAGACTGACTAGTCTAGTTATGTGCTGACCATGAACTGTTTCTGGCAAGTACAAACTGTTGTTCCTTCTGGGGCAGCTCACTTGATTCCGATCACGCAGTGGCGCGTGCACGCCTGCCAGTTCGTTTCCCTTCAGGCCCCTAAAAGTCAGCAAGCATGCCAATACACTATCTTCGAAGAATTACCATAGCTAAACAGTATCGATCTGAGCCAGCCCAACAACTCTCCACAGAAAACCAATACTGTGGTGGTAATGAGCATGTGAAGCGTGACAAAATACGAAAGGGGCTATGTTAGCGGCGTTCAATGCTGTTTGTCCAACTTCTTCAATTCGACCACAAGACCACTGGGTGCCGTCGAGGTCGTTACCCATGATAGTGTGATAGTGCCTGTGGAGCAAATGTCTCCCCCATAAATTCTTGACCCTCCTTAAGGCGTTGTACGCTGACTCCCGCAGCCGTGTGAAGGTCTACGGGAAGCTCCCGCCTGAGTTCATCACATTAAGTGGTGTCAGACAGGGATGTCCTCGTTCACCTTTTCTATTCAACTTTGACAATGATACATTCATGAAAGACTCACTAGCAGCCTCTAATGCTTGTGGGGTCGAATTGCTCCCGGAGCGTCCGCTCACAGACATAGAGTACACAGGCGACATAGCTCTTCTTGGATCTGACCCCGTGGTAATGCAAACAACATTAAATAATCTAAACAATTCTGTCTCACGGTTTGGCATGCTCTCCACACCTGCAAAGTGTAAAGTGCTACCGCAAGACTGGGTAGGCTCGGAACCCAACCTCATGCTTGCGGATGAACCGACTGAGGTAGTAGACAGGTTCGTCTACCTTGGCAGATGTATTAGTCCCAATAGTCTCGCTGAATATATTTCCATCCGGATTGGAAAGGTCAGAGCAGATTTTGTGAACCTGCGTCACCCGTGGCACAACATCAGCTTAACCGTCAAGAGTAGAGTTCACAATGCTGCGGTGGGCTCCGTATTACTATACGGATCGTAGAACGTCAAAAGACTTTCAGTGTTTGACCATCGATACCTCCGGAGCATTGCCTGAGTCTGGTAGAAACACCGGGTTAGCAATGCCGAATTTCGTCGAGTAGTTTTCGGGAGAAATAACTCACTCACGATAGACGAACTGACCAATCTCCACAAGTTGTGCTAGCTTGGCCACGAGCTCCGTATATCAGTCGACCGAATTTCTCGTAGGGTTCTTTTAGCACAACCAGGGAGGTCAATGACTTGGCAACGAAGTAGAAAAGCCATTACCACTAAACTCGGCTGCGCTGGTCACTACCGTCCTCCTGGATGGGGACCCCGAGACGGGATACATCATTGTTTAGAGACACTGTCGGATACGGCCCAGTTGCGCCCAGAATGTCGCTCGTGCACCCAAGCTATTGACTTCAATGCATAACTCCCTTCTCAATGCCCCACTTAACAGTCCTGTATTTACGTAACAATTCATCAGCTACTGCCTCCAATCCCCAGCTACCTACTCTCCCGAAATAATCGATTAACGAAACTGTGGCAGCTACAACTACTGTTCAACAAGTACGCGGTTATTACAGCCGACAATGATGATGAATCTCACGTCCCATTTAAGCCTAAATTGTATACAATTCACCATCGTTTTATTCTTGTTTCTTCATGATTTCAGGAAACCGTTGTAACAGACAGGAGTTGAAAAAAGAAAGCGAAGCTGGACATGAATAAATGTTTGGTAATTCGTGAGTTGAAGCGAGAGAAGTTGGAGGATAGGGTAAAGTGAGAGAGTTCCATAATCGGACTTGAAAAACAGTAAAGGTGGAATTTAGCCCTACAAGTAGACAACCGAAAGTGTGGCTGAGTCAACAAGAAAGACGGGGGGGCGATAAACAGGACAGGGTTTACGAACAGCGTAAACAGACCCAGCCACTGGTGTTATCGGGTGGCTGTTCCGCAAACCATGGGGATCGTCGAAAGACGTCTAAGGGACAGGGGCCTAGTTGATGACCAGTTGGGATGAGACTTCATGGAACAATGCAGTTGGTATTCTTCGACGTTAGCCCAAGAGCCCGACGAACAGTAACAGAAAATTGATCCGAGCCATCAAATAGGTAACATAAATCCAGCGAGAAATATCGCTCTTTTAACGTGAAAAGGCATCAGGCCCGAACTGGTTGCACTTCAGATTTTTTGAAGATCGTAAAGCCTTGATACGTATTGTGATCATCGTATTACGAACCATTTGGAATGAAAGCAGAATGCCGGTGGAATGAGACATTTGGTGTTGATGACAATCTACATCAATGGCGCAAGTGTGTTATTCGACGGACCCTAGCACTAGCTTGCGCAGGTTGGTCAAATGCCTTCAGAGGCGATATATCAATCGACCACAGTGGTACAGCATCATCATTGCTCCCAACCGCGTATCGGTTATGTATCGATTGGTGACGATACTTTCGCAAGCTAACAGATCAATAGTCCTTAAAGGCGGTTATGCCGGCCTCTGCGGACACGTGCAAGCATACTATACGGTCATCTGGGTCCATCACGTACAGCGGTGCAAAACAAGGTTGTTTTCTCTCACCATCCCTCAACTTTGTTTTTACTGTCCTGCTTAGAACTCCTTTGCCTTTTTCCGGTACAGGTGTTCCCGGGTCAGGCATCGAGTATGCAGACGATATGGCCTTATTGGGTTCAAATCTTTAGGATAATCAACGCACCTTAAATGACGTAGATGACTCAGACGGACGGTTCGGGAGGCGCTTCACATATGGGAAATGTAGTGTTCTCATAAGATTAGGTGGGATCAGATCAAAATCTCATGGCTACAGATAAACCGACCAACGTGCGATTGGGTGCTCTAACACTGAAAAATTTTCATCCCGTGACTTCGCTGTGCATTAACAGTCAGCGGTACGAAAATTTACTGACAAGACCTTGATCAAACATGTAGTAAAAAGCATAAGCTCCTCAGAGCGGCAACGTCAGTCTGTTATAAACGGATTCCAAGCGTTTTCCATGGTTTGCGGATATAGGGAGATCAATCATTTCAGGGGTAGCTATTAGCATACATCCAATGATGGTTAAGCCCTTCTTGAGCTCTAGGCTGCAGATCTGGCTGGCGTATTCATCAGTAAGCAGTTTGTCGTAGGCTTCATAGAGCATATGGACGTTTGTGCAAGTAATACGAGAGAGATGAGCCGAATCACCCATAGACAGGAAAACGTCCTTTGGGTTGACTTTATCTGACCAGTATTTTACCTTCGGGTTGTTTGATTTCTACGAACACGAGCCTATTTGGTTCGGAAGAAATCCACGATGCAGCAGAGAGCAAGCTGTTGGTGGTGATTTAGAATGACTTGCTTCCAGATGCATTCCATGCTCTCCACAGTATGTTGATGGAGCTAACAACTCTGTGGATACTGGGCCGTTGATGGAGCTAACAACTCTGTGGATACTTGGCCAAAGAAATAATAAATCGTTCAGGTGTAGCAACATTTCGGTACCTGGTAATAATAATAAATCGTTCAGGTGTAGCACCATTTCGGTACCTAGTTGCCAACCCACACGAAGGTTGCACGAGGGCTGAGATACTGCCAGGTTGCCCAAGCTTAGACAGGGGAAGTCGAGAGTCAGAGGTCGGGTTCGAACAACCGACCTTCCGGT